CTATAATGCTAGCTATGATGTTATTAATGTTTTAGTCCTTAAGTTGTGTGGTCAGTTAATGTGATCATTATATTTATGAATAAATAGAAAATATTTTGAGTCCTAAAATTTGATTTTATAGGCTTCCCTGGTGGCTCGGTGGTGAAGAATCTGCTTGTTAATGCAGGAGACATGGGTTGGATCCCTGATTCAGGAAGATCCCATATGCCTCAGAGCGACTAAGCCCGTGGGCCACAACTACTGAGCCTATTCTCTAAAGCCTGGGAGCCACAACTATAGAAGCGTACAGGCCTTAGAGCCTGCGCTCTGCAACAAAAGAGGCTACTACAATGAGAAGCCCTTAAACTGCAACTACAGAGTAGGCCCCGCGCACCCCAACTAGAGAAAGTCCAATGCAGCAATGAAGATTCAGCATAGCCAAAAATAAATAAATAAAATTTTTAAACAAAATTATAAAAAGATTATTTTAAAATTTGTTAGTTTGCTGCTTAAGACAGACATAACTACAACAAAAATGAAACTAAAACATTATCAACTAAAAAAACTTTAGATGAAGTCAAATAAAAACAAAACAAAAATTAGCAAATTAATAGAGGCTTCCCAGGTGGTGCTAGTGGTAAAGAACCTGCCTGTCAATGCAGGAGATGAGGGTTCCATCCCTGGGTTGGAAAGATCCCCTGGAGGAGGGCGTGGCAATCCATTCCAGTATTCGTGCCTGGAGAATCCCATGGACAAAGAAGCCTGGTGGGCTACAGTCCATAGCGTTGCATAGAGTTGGACATGACTGAAGCGACTTAGCACGCACACATATATATATATCTCATGTGAAATGCTGGGCTAGATGAATCACAAACTGGAATAAAGATTGCTGGGAGAAATATCAACAACCTCAGATATACAGATGATATCACTCTAATGGCAGAAAGTAAAGATGAACTGAAGAGCCTCTTGATGAGGATGAAAGAGGAGAATGAAAAAGCTGGTTATCATGGCATCTGAGCCCATCACTTCATGCAAATAGAAGGGGAAAAGTGGAAGCAGTGACAGATTTTGTTTTATTGAGCTTCAAAATCACTGCGGACAGTGATTGAAGCCATGAAATTAAAAGATTTCCTTGGAAGAAAAGCTATGACATACTTAGAGTATATTAAAAAACAAAGACATCACTTTGTCGATGAAAGGTCTGTATAGTCAAAGCTATGGTTTTTCCAGGAATCACATATGGATGTGAGCGTTGGGCCACAGAGAAAGCTGAGCACCAAATAATTGATGCTTTTGAACTGTGGTGCTGGAAAAGATTCTTGAGAGTCCCTTGGACTGCAAGGAAATCAAATCAGTCAATCTTAGGAAATAAATCCTGAATATTCATTGGAAGGACTGATGCTGAAGCTGAAGCTCCAATACTTTGGCCACCTGATGCGAAGAGCTGACTCACTGATGGCAAAAGGAGAAGAGGGCTGCAGAGGGTGAGATGGTTAGATAGCATCACTGACTCAATGGGCATGAATCTGAGGAAACTTTGGGAGATAGTGAAGGACAAGGGAGCCTGGGGTGCTGCAGGTCATGGGGTCACAAAGAGTCAAACACGACTTAGTGACTCAACAACAATATACATAGGGCTTCCCAGGTGGTGCTGTGGTAAAGAATGTGCCTGCCAAGCAGGAGACACAGGAGATGTGAGTTTGATTCCAGGCTCAGGAAGATCCCCTGGAGAAGGAAATGGCAATCCACTCCAGTATTCTTGCCTGGGAAATCCCATGGACAGAGGAGCCTGGTGGGCTACAGTCCTTGGGGTCTCAAGAAGTTGGATACAACTTAGGGCCTAACTACCACCACCATATATATGTGTGTATGTGTGTCCTCAGTCATGTCCAACTCTCATATACCTTGCATGGCATGTGGGGGTCTTAGTTCCCCAACCAGGTATTGAACCCAAGTCCCCTGCATTGTAAGTGTGGAGTCTTAACCACTGGATCACCAGGGCAGTCAGACTGTATAATTTTAAGGTCAAACGCACTACATTGACTAAAAATTCTGTGTATGTGGATTCATATATATTCAGTAAAATAAATAAATACATTTTGGAAAATATATAGTATTTGGGAAGGTTCATGTAACGGTAAAGAAATACTAGTAATGAACTTTTGTGAGTCAAATAACAAAGCATCAAAACATCTGTAACCAGACTTCTAGAAGAAGATAGAAGAGCATGACTTGATCACAACTCCTTTCACTTCATATCTAATGAAGTAAACCAAAACCATTTAAAAATTGTGTGGTGTGCCTGCACAAAGGATACATTTAATGTACCAGGCTCTAGGTGTCAATGGTGCAGAAACCCACAGTGCATGGAAAAAATGTTTTCTAGCAAACCTGATTGTTATAAAAATGACTTTTATATATAATATTGCTTGGAAACGATGAGTAGCAAAGTGGTGACAACAACAACAACAAAAAAAATAGTGAGGGAGTAAAGTATTGTAATTACCCACCAGAGTTCCCAAGAAAAGAAATAAGCTCAACTTAGTATCATTAACTCCAAAGAGTGAGAGCCAAGGGGTAGGGCAAGTGGAGAATTAATCTGTATTCACAGAGTACAACATGACTGACTTCCTCATGTCATTTTAAAAAGATGAACTTCTAAATTCAAAGAAGATGGAACCAAGCATATGACTGTCTCCTTATCTTTCCCTTCTTCTGACTAGATGGTGATGAAAATTTCCTCTGGGCAGAGACCAGTAAAAGAGTCAATGTGAACTATGAAATATAAGCAAAATTGTCCAGGCTCTAAACAGAACTGGAACAACACCCCAAAGCCTGTAACATCGTTCCCACATTAGAATGGGGTATACTCTGGACTGGCGTGAAGGAAACATAGTAACTCTGACCTTTTACTGTTTCCCATAAGCTCCTTTTTTAATCTTTGCATGCTCTTTCAGGAACTATTTCTCATCTTGAAGGAAGGTTTATTTTGGGTTCAGCAATTCTCTTCACTCATTTGAGAGTTTGGGGGGTCTTGATGGTTTGCTTCGTGGGTTGTTATTATCATTAGCATTAGCATTAATGAAAATTCAATAGCTTTCATTAAGAAAAAAAGCATTTTCAGTATGATTCCCATATCATAAATATATTTCTGCCTATCCAATCCACCTATTGTTAACGCTAATTACTGATGGGTGGTAAGATTTAAGATAATTTATTGTTGTCTTCATACTTTTCCACCATGCTTTAATTCTTTAAAAGAAGCATGTGTCATTTCACAACCACAATTCAGTATGTGTGCAAGGAGAGAGAGGAACAGCCAGAAAATGATAATATTGACAATGACAATAGTTTACACCCTGAGGGCTTACTGTTTTTCTGGCACCGTTCTAAGCTCATTACATATACGATTGGATCAAATGAAACTGCCAACATTTGGCTGTTCTTGACCTACGAAAAGAGCAATTTCATGTGGTCCTATTTACACTTACTCCTTTAATCTTTGAACAACCCCAAGATGAAGATGGCGATCCCAAGCTGCCAGAAATGCACAGAAAAATCAAGTGTCATCTTTTTCTGCAGAGCCCCCATCCTCTGGTCTTGCCCTCACACCCTGTTCTACAATCAGGGTATCCCAAGATACCTTAGGAGGTGGCATCAGCCATCAACCTGAGCACCAAGGCAGGACACGTAGAATTGCTCTAATCCAGTTTATCCCCTGAATGAAATCACCTCTAGTTTCTAGGAGGGTCTTCAGAACTTCAAATTCTGTTCTAGAGCAGAGAGAACAGTTTGGGTACAGCTGCAGTTCCCAGGAGAGTCCCCGCCTGTGTCCCCCACCCAGGTACCAAAGCAGGACACGCTTGACAGTTTTGTGTTTATTTCCAGAAAGTGATGAAGACAAAAGTAATATATCTGGACACCACTCTCTGTACAATAAATAGCCTCCCCTGTTCCCCAAAAAGAAAAATGTATCCTCACACACCATCCCCTGTTCCCTGGGCAAGACAGTGCTTCTTTAAAAAAAAAAATTATTTTATTTATTTATTTTTGGCTGTCCTGGGTCTTCAATGCTGTGTGGAGCTTTTCTCTACTTGGAGGGCTACTCTCTAGCTGCGGTACGTGGGTTTCTCATTGAGGAGGCGTCTTTTGTTGGAGAGCACAGGCTCTAGGGCTCGCTGGCTTCAGTAGTTGAGGCACATGGACTCAGTAGTTGCAGCTCCCGGGCTCCAGAGCACAGGCTCAATAGTCGTGGTGCACGGGCTTAGTTGCTCCATGGCATGTGGGATCTTCCTGGACCAGGGATTAAACCTGCGCCTTCCGATTGGCAGGCAGCTTCTTCACCACTGAGTCACTTGGAAAATCTCAACACTGCTTCTTGAGTCATGCACAAGCCCCACGCCCTTGCCAGCCCCTTCCTCGGGACTCCACTGTGTCTAAGAGGGTGGGGCCCAGGCCAGTTGTTCAAAGTCACTGGGGTCCTCTCCCTGGCCCTGGCTGGCTGACTTAGAAAATCCACATGTCTTTATTTCCGGATCAGGGATTAACACACACACAAATGAAAATGTTTACAGTTACTCTACAGAGGAAGAGATCTGAGTCTCCAGCCAGGCCATCCCACCTGACCCTGATCCCCCCACCCCAGCCTGGAGAAGAGAGGAAGCTCTTTTGTGTCCCAGACCTTCCATGGTCCGTTAGAAGAGAGGAAGCTCTTTTGTGTCCCAGACCTTCCATGGTCCGTTTTATGTTCTCCAGCTGGGAGCCCACAGCTAGAAGCAGCACCAGGTATATGACTGTAGTTGGGGCAGGGGAAGGGGCAGAGGACAGTCCTTGCAGGTCTCCTGGTGGGCCAGGAGACAGCAAGTGAACCTCAGAATCCTTCTTGGCCCCCCTCTTCCTCAACCAACTACAAAAGGAGACAGGACAGAAGAAGCTGGGGACGGCTCAGTCCTGAGTTTGTGGTACGGTTGGAGTCACCAACCTAACGACACTCTTCCTGTTCCTTTCACGTCATCTGTTCAATTGGGAAAATAGTTATAAAACTGGCCTTCAGTTTCCTTATCGAAAGGAGAAGGGGCCCCCGCAGGGGAGGAGCTGTCACCGCTGGAAGGATAGGGGGACACACGCCTCCTCTTAGAGTCTCCTTCGCCCAGTCCTGAGTCACTGGACTCTGGCCGGAGTGGAGTGATCTCAGTCCACAGGGAGGGGGAGCCCTGCTCCTCTGGCCCCCGCCCCTCTGAGGCTCCAGGGCCAGGTTCCATGGGCAGAGTTCGCATGGAGCGGAACCAGTTGGCTGGGCCCACCTTGGGAGGGTACTGGGGGGCCACAGGCCAGCCCGCTCCAGGCGCCAGGACTTCCTGGCTTCGGTAGTAGGACATGGTGGGCCCGGGCGCGGAGGGCAGGAATGCAGGCTTCATGCTGACAGCGCGAAACTCGGCCTCATAGCTGTGGTCCCGGGGGGCTCCCAGCCAGTAAGGCTGGGGAACCACATCCTTGGCCTGGCTGGGAAGGTCGGGGTAGAAACGGCTGGAGACGGGATACTGGTTGGGGAGGAGAGGAGAATAGTGGTCTCCACCAAGCAGTTGACAGTTGGGTCCAGGCGGGGAGGGGACGCTGGCGTCAACAGATGCATATATGCTTTAAAAAAAAAAGAAACGGGGGCAAAAGACAGGGGTCATGAATAGAACTGGTCAGTTAGGAGCCTGCCTGCACCACAACCCTCCCCATACATCCTTCCTGACCTGCCCGCTGCCCTTTGGCACCCACTGCACACTTCCCCACCGCAGAGGCAGAGAGGGGACTGGGCACTTGTCTGGAGTCCCAGTCCCAGAAAGACAAGGAGGGCCTCTGCCAACACGAGCTGAACCCAGGGGCACTTACGACTCAAAGTTCTCCCGGAATCCTTTGGCAAAAGGGTTATTATCAATTTTCAGCTGAGTAATCTAGAGAGAAGGGAAACAGAGTCATCTGAGTGACGAGTCTGAGGCTGGGGAACCTCCAAATTCACTCCCAAGAAGTTGAGGGGCTCTGCTCTCCCCTTCTTCCCACCCCACCCGCCCAGGCTCAGCCCACCCTCGCCCAGGCAGCCCTCACCTCGGCGTTCTGGTAGGCGGTCACGGCGATGAACTGGGTTTCTTGGAAAGTGAAGATGTGCGTGTTGCAGGCCGCTTCCGGCTCTCCATCGCTGACTCTGACAATGTGCAGCCGGGGCTGGTATTTATGGAGGGACTGAAGCACGATCATCTGAGAGGGGGCGAGGCGGCCGTGAGCGTGGGCGGAGGGAGTGCAAAGGAGCCCTCCCCTCCCCCACCCCACCTATGGCCCACCCTACGGCCAGGCTACAAAGGGCCCTGAAGTCATCGTGACCATTCTTCTGCCCTGCCAACATGGAACTTCTCCCAAGCCTCCAACCTCAGTCCTGAACCTCCTCAGGGCACCAAGGGCACTTTTAATAGGCTTGCTCAATTCAAAGAAACTCTGCATCCACTCCCTAGGACCACCAGTACTGACTCGATACCAACCCCCAGGCTGGGTTGGTCCACATTGACCTGAATGTGACCCCCATCTGCCTTGAGATTCAGCTTCCTCTCAAGGTGGGTGGAAAAGAACCAGAGTCCGAGAGGGAGACAAGTCGCTCTTATAGAACAGAATCAGCCTGCAGGACCCACTGTGGCCTCAGGGACAGGGAAAGATGGGGGGCTTTCCCAAGGGGAGGTGTCCCACCTGGGTCACATTGTTGGAAGCCCCCTTGTTGTTCGTGAGCTTTAGTTTCCCGAATGACACCTCCTGGCGCATCCAGTGGGCTCCGGTGTTGGGGGAATCTGGATGGACGTACAGGCGGTTCCCTGTGGACAGTTAATCTTTTTGGCATGCAGCCCCTGGGACCAGGCCCCTGGTGGCTTCCTTTGCCTGTTCCGAGGGGCACGGCAAGAAGGATGGAGGGGGAGGACAGACGGGGCAGGATGGGGGAGGTGCGGGCAGAGGGCCAAGCTGAGGACAGGATAGAGCAAAGTAGAAGAGATGACAAACAGAATGAAAGTGAGACGTGGGAGGGGAAGGGATGGCGTGGGGTGGAGTGGATGGGGTGGGGTGGAACTAGAGAATTAAATCCTAGGAGTCAGAGGCTGGGGGTTGGGGGGAGTTCCTCTTGGATCCACCAGGGGGCGCACAGTCTTAGAGAAAAATCATGCCCCCGGTTCCCAAGGAGGCGCGTACCTGGCATGCTGCCCTCAGCCTTTCCACACTGCACCCACTTGCCGCTCTGATACCGCCAGTGGTGCTGGTCCACCAAGACCACGTCCACAAACATCCGGTAATGGCTGGTGGGCTCCAGCCCAGCCACAGTAAACGACAGGAATGGGAACATCCGCCTGGGGAGAACAGAGAGACCCACCAATCCCATCAGCCCCCAGCCCCCCGGACAGCCGTTCCCTGGGCCAAGGCCGTCCATCAGTGGTGTGCTGGAGCCAGCTCCCATCCTCACCAGAGCCAGCCGGGGAAGTCCAGGAAGTCTGCCAGCCAGTTGTTAGACAGCAACCATTAACAATTAAACCAGGACTTCCCTGGTGGTCCAGTGGTTAGGAATCCACCTGCCAATGCAGGGGACATGGTTCAATCCCTGGTTGGGGAAGATTCCACATGCCATAGGGCAACTAAGCCCATGAGCCACAACTACTAAGTCTTTTGAGCTCTAGAGCCTGTGCTCCACAACAAAAGAAGTCATTGCAATAAGAAGCTGCTTATTAGAGAAAGTGCCCGCTTGTGGCAACTAGAGAAAGCCCGGGCAGCAGTGAAGACCCAGCACAACCAAAAATAAATATCAATAAAAATTAAATCATATAAACTACCATGAAATATATTACATTACAAGTCAAGGCAATAAATACTCAAAAAAATCACTTCTCGATATTTTTTACTACACTTGACTATTATCTTTGCTCTTGAGATTGTTTATCAGTATGGTGGAGATAAACTAGATAATATTTGCTGCCTCACGTCTCTTCCCAACTCCAAGTTCAGTGATAACATGTGGGCAGCTTGCAAGCAGCCATTATAGGGGTATTTACCATGGAAATCAGCAAACACTACGAAGCAGGGCTTTTAAAAATTTTTTTCTTTTTGAGCGTCAGTTGCTAACATTAGCTGCACACCCGTCTCTAGCCTTAGTTTGCTCCCTGGAGGGGAGCAAAGCCACAAGCCAGCCCCAACACAGGCTGTTCCTAGTAGGTCTTCATCTCTGAGTTCCCCGAACCCTGGTCTGGCCTCAGTCTGTCATCCATCCTCTCGCTGCGGCTCTCATGGTGCTAACACACACCCAGCCTCAGAGCGGTCATCCGCAGGCTTTCCCTGCCCCGTCCTCCTGGGCCTGACGTCTGCAGTGCCACCTGCTCCCGGCTTGGGTCTTCAGAGAAGTAGCTGAAGTCTTAGCCAGAGCTTTCCATCCACCTGGAAGAGGGACTCTATTGAGCACAGTTCTCGTGATCGAAGTCCTGGTTCCCAGGAAAAGTGGAGGAAGTTGGATTTGGGATGTTGTGCTATTGTGCTGAGTAACAGATTCAGAGGAATAAGCACTGCCATACTACAACCATCTCCATCACCTCCACCATCACCACCATCATTACAACCAATATCTCCACTATCAATATCACTGTTACTACAACCGACACCTCCACCATCACCAGCATCACTACAAGGAACACTTCAATGAGCACAACTCCCATCACCACCGTCACTACAACCAGCACCTCTACCATCACCACTGCCTCTCCGGCTTAGCCTCTCTTTCGACTCGAGCAGGAAGAGCAGACTTTTTAAGATGGCAGAGTCAAATCCTCATCAGAATTGCTTTTCATTCCCATACACACTTCTCTCCTCCTCCTACAAGAAGCCTTGCAGGGTGGCAAGAAAGGTCCTGGTCCATGAGTCAGGAAACCTGGGGGATTTAGAGTTCCAGGGGGTTCCAGGGGCCAAAGAGCACTTTCGGGTGGATCCCAGTCTACACTCCATGGGATTGCAAAGAACTGGACACAGCCAAGCATACGCGTGCACACACACACAGTCCCCAGAGGGTCCTAGAGCAACATCCTTAATAACCTTGGAAAGATCTCCCAGGAGAGTACTGTCACATTCCTGCCTTCCCCAGACTCTCCTGGGCTGAGAAAAAGAAACTTACTCAATAAGTTAATTTATTAAAAGTTAATAAAGATAAGTTAATTCCTAAACCAAACCTCACTTTCTTCACCCATAAATGGAGATAACAATTCCTGTCCATTTTTCCTTTCAGAGCTGTTAAGAAGTTTGGAAGATGTGCAACTCAGCTCACTGTCTACCCTATCCCACCCTCATCCCACCTTCTTCCAGGCCCAGAGTGGTCAAAACCTTCTGGCCTGGCTGAAGAACCCCAAGCAAGAGTCCAGAGTTCTGGTTTGAGGCCTTGGGTCCCAGGAGCTCAGCGTGCCAGTCAACTGGAGAAATCAAAGTTAGGGATGAGGCTTTGAGCAATCGAGAGTGAGAGAATATTTTCAGTCCATTGATACCACTAACTCATTTTGCAACAGTGGTCAGGTCATTCATGCTTCCTATATTGTACCCAGTTCCTATCCAGACATGTAGTAATAAAGAGAGAGAAGGGAACTTATTCATTGTGCCTCTCCTTATGCAGCAGCCAGTTCACTGAAAAAGTCCTCTGAGGTACAAAATGTTCTTTTCCAATTTTATATCTGAAGAAAATGAGGCTCCGAGACGTTTGGTGATGGCTTCTTGGTGGAAACACAGAGCTGGAGTCTCCTGATGGCAGGGGACATGCTATAGTCTCCACCACCCCCTCCTGCTTCTTACTAGTAGAAGGAAAAGCAGGAGACACAAGAAGACCAGGGTGGGGTAGGGGAGAGGGAGAGGAGAAGGGAGGTCTCAACTTCACCCTAAAAATCTAGACTCACCACCAGCTGGGATCCCAAAATAGCCCTTGATTTACATGACATTTTGCTGGGAAGGAAAAGGGAGTCTGGTGCCAATCTGAGCCCCTAGAAAAGACAGCTCACCACTCCTTAAGGACCATCCACCTTGAAATGATTCGCAGTCACTGTACCCCTTCCCCATCCTGAACGCTTCCGACAACGCTCCAATTCGCGGTTATTAGGCACAAATTTAAAGGAGATGGTTTTTATCAGTCTGGGCTTCCCTGGTGGCTCAGATGGTAAAGAATCTGCCTGCAATGCAAGAGTCCTGGGTTCAATCCCTGGCTCGAGAAGATTCTCTGGAGGAGGAAACGGCAACCCACTCCAGTATTCTTGCCTGGAAAATCCCATAAACAAAGGAGCCTGATGGGCCACAGTCTGTGGGGCTGCTAAGAGTCGGACATGACTGAATGACTAACACTTTTATCAGGCATGTTTGCAAAATGTTTCAAAATTGATAATACCTAATTGCTATTGAGCCTGCAGGATAATTGATCCTTTCTTCCACTATCTGTCGGGGTGTAAATTGAAACCACTTTTGAGGAGAGGTTTTTTTTTTTTTTGGCCATGCTTCACGGGGAGTACGGGATTTTCCCCAACCAGGGATCAAACTCCCATGATCCCTGCAGTGGAAGTGCAGAGTCTTAACTACTGCCAGGGAAGTCTGAGGAGCGTATTCGGCAATGTCTTTATGGATCCAAATGTAAAACGCACCTAAGCATCAAGGGAGTGCCTCCTCAAACTAACCTCGGATCCACTGAATAGAAATCAGACGGCCACCAGCAAACAGGGAAAGAGAAAAAGCAAAGCCATTTTCACCGATCCCACGAGAAATGAAGCCCATCAGCCCAAATTAAAGCAGGCTTAAAGCTAAAAATATTTTTTTAAGATCTAAAAAGTTCTTGGAGTTGGAATGTAGAGAAGAGAAAACCAACAGGTCTGCGATCGAGGATAATGCGGGACTGAAATTGTTTTACCAAGCCCTAACCTCGCACATACATACACAAATGCAAATAGAGCTGCTTAACAACAGAGTTATCTTAATTATAATAATCAACTAATCACACCCAGAAAAGTGGGGATTGCCAGCAATTACTGCACACCCACACACCCACACACGGAGACAGCCGCCTTGCTCTTCCTCTGCTGAGAATGTCTACCATTGACTATCAGACAAGCTGCCTCCCAGAAACAACACGAGGCCCAGCAACATGAGCGCGCCTAACGGACCACAGACACACAGACTTGAACTCCAAACCCTCCAGTTGGCCAGTCCATCTTCCTATCCTCCATTTCCCCTCCCGGTCCCATCTGAGCTGCCTGGATTAGTCTCTGGACCCCAGAACAACCTCCTGCCCCACTCCCCATCCCATTCCTGCCACAGAGGAGAACATGACTGTGTCCTGTCCACAATGCGAGGTGGGTCTAGGGTGGGTAGGAGAGGAAGAATCTGGGAGGGAGTGAGTCAGCCCCAAGACGAAAGGCTACGGGGCTGTGGGTGGGCCTGCTGGAAGGATTTTTCAAAAAGGAAGAAAGTCGTGGGTGATGTGGTGGTGACTGACGGATCACTGGAAACCATGGAGGGACAGACCAGTGTGCCCTGGTCTGAAAGGGGGCAGAAAGGGAGCTGTTCTCTGAGCCCGTCTTACTTTTCAGAAGCCAGTAGCAGAAGGAAATGGCCGCCGACTTCCCAGATCACTGGAGCCTAAGTTCACAGACCCGGGTGCCAAGCTGGGAGCGGTGTGTCCTCTGTCTCCTCCACTCCACCCTGAGGCCTGATCCAAGAGGAGGCCTCAAGGGAAATGGTGAGAGGCCACTGTCCCCTTCCAACAGCTCCAACCCACGAAGTGTCCGAAGCAGTCCTTCAGGACGGATTGAAAGTGTGAGGATTGTAAAACTGGAGTGTGCGCGAGCATATAAAATAATCAGGGAAATCTGATGATATTTAAGAATTTCTTTTCAGGTTTGCTAATGGTATTGCGTTTATTTTTAAAAACCCATTTTTAGAGGTGCACAGAGAACTACTTCAGGATGAAGTAATACAGTATCTAGGATTTACTTACTAATTACGCTATCACTAACATAGTTTCAGACCAGAGGTATGGCTGTTAACACAGCAAAGGAAAAGTAGAAACAGGATTGGACTAGTATTGACAGTTAGGTAATGGGTAGATGGAGATCTGTTACATGTTTCTCTTCACTTTTGTATATATTGGAATTTTTCATAATAAAGGAAATTAAGTGTGTGGGTTTAAATAAAAGAGAGACAACGAGGGACTTCCCTGGTGATTCAGTAGTTAAGACTCCAAGCTGCCTAGGCAGGGGCTCAGGTTCAAACCCTAGTTAGGGAACTAAAATCCCACATGCTATGCAGGAGTGCAGGATGGCCAAAAGATGGAAAATTAAAATAAAATAAAAAATAAAAGAGAGACAACAGAACTGTCAAGAGAAGATTATTCAGCAGGAATGTAAAGGAAAAATGAGGTTATAGATGCAAAGGAGACAGCCAGTACAGACAGCAATATGTACCGCACTGTACCCTAAGACCCACAGCCAGTCCTGCACCCCCAGATCCCTGAAGTTCTGCCGATGCTCTGTCCACCCCAGGCCTTAAGACTGGAGGGGCAGGGGCCTGGCCGCAAGTCTGTGGGGAGACCCCAGCAGGCCCCGGGGTGAGAAGGCTTCCTGACCACTCAACAGAGTGGAGGCTTGAGTTCGGGTCTGCCGTGTGACCAAGTGCAAGCCATCAGCCCCCCGGGCCTCAGCGCGCTCAGCTGCAAACGGGGAGGCTGCTTGGCCTACCTAGCGTAGTTAAATAATGGAAGTGAAAGCACTATGAATGCATCAAGGCCTTCGGACAGTGTGGGTAGCTGTTTTTACTCCTGGTCTTGGGGGAGCAGAGAAAGAAACCCAGGCACATACCATCTGGGAGCTGGTGCCAGTTCTGCCAGTGATGCATGTGCTGTGTGACCTCAGAAAAGTCTCTTACTGTCTCTGGGTCCATTTCCCTGTCTGTCCAGGAAGAAGACGGAACAGGATCTTCTGGGTTCCCTCCAATTTAGACATGACAGCCTAGAAGCCTGGGCTGTGCCTAGGGTCACCCAGAAGGGGACTAGGGTTGGGGGAACAGAGAGGAATTATCTGACGGCCTAGAAGATGAAGGCCAGGCCATAAAAGAAAATGCCAGTCTTTCCTGGGTTCGTCCCCGAGAAAGAACAGTTCAGCAACTTGAAGCCAATTGTGATTGGTGGACAGGTCCCTCAATCCCCAGCCATCCCACAGAAATCATTCATCAGGACGGAAAAATGTTCCAGCAATGCCCAGATATTCAGTCTACCCTGAGGGATCTAGTTCCATGGCTCAGGCCCCCCTGAGCCCAGCACATGTAGGGTAGGGTTTGGGGCCAAGGGTGCTGCTTGAATGAATGTCAACCCTCTGGCCCAGCATGGCCTCTCCCCTCTCCCTTCCTGAGCTCCACACTTCTATCTGCCCTTCAACACCTCTCGGGTCCACTGATGACACAGCTGCCTCCACACAGAGGCCCTCGCTGGTTCTCTGCCCACACAGACCCCTCCCCGGGGAAGGGTGCGTGCACACTCTCACCCACCAGACACAGTCAGGGCCCACTCAGAGTGGAGTTTGCTACACAAATAACACACAAGCTGCAAGTTTCTCTTTCTTTCCCCACGTAGGAGACTCTCCGGAAGCAGCACCCTTGGCCCCAAAACCCTACCCTGCACGCACTGGGCTCAGGAGAGCCTAAGCCACGGAACCAGGGCTTCCCCAGGGTGAACTGAACGTCTGGGTCAGGGTGGGGCAGGCTTTGGGGGACAGGCCTTGAAGGGTGCAGAGACTGGGACTGGCTGCCAGCTGGGACCCTTGAGGTAGCTTCACCTGCTCAGGCCCATGGACATCTGTGCCCTCAGGCAGGGACCGTGTCTGGAAGGAATCTATGCCCTCTCCCACGGTCCCACCTCCCTCCCCCCATCACACGCACACACCAGACATATGATCTCAAAGTACTACCGGAAAGGAAACTTGGCGACTAGGTCTCCATGTCACCAAATCCCAGTTTTACACGTCTCCCTCCCCCAGAGCTGACCTGTATACAACAGCAGCAAGGGCACGGGGAGAGGTGGGCAAAGAGGGCCCCTGAGAGGAGGGCTGGTTTGCTGTCCGCTCCACTGCCAGATTCTGCCCTCCCCTGGGTTTCCCAGCACGTAGGGGCGAAGAGGTGCCCTGCTCTGTCAGACGCACAGCACACGCTCCCCCTGCGCCCTGGGCGTCCCTCACTCAGGCAGAGAGCGGCACCCCAGTGCCTGGGGAAACCATAGGCACCCTCGCCCTAAACCCGGACCATGGCTCCCTGTGTCTCTCGCCTCCGTCACTCATGGGTTTCAGGTTGCGCCTGTCGGTGCAATGTCCTGAGAGTAAACAACCCCCAGATTGTCCCCACCTCAACTCCCTCCTTCCCCTCAAGGCCTGAGCCAAAGCTGTGAGGGACACGGAGACACTAGCAGTCTAGACAGAAAAAAAAGAAGCGCGTCTCGGTCAGGGCAGGTCAGGGACGAAGGGGCTCCCATCGCTCGGCGCTCCGGCGCGCGACTCACTCACCGTCCCTGCTTGGTGATGATCATCTCCGTCTGGTGCTGATTAAACTTGGACCACAACAGGTGGTTGTTGAGCGCAACTCTCAGCTTCCCGGACACCTCCAGCCCCGCCGGCAGTGTATAGTCCTCGCGCGGCGCCGGGTAGAGTGTGGCGCGCGGGTCCGGAGCCGAGTAGGCGTCCCCGGACTGGTAGCCCTCGGCGCCCGGCGTCGGCGGGAAGGGTTCGCTCGCCCCGGGGAAGCCGGCGGCCTGGGGCCGGGGCGGGTAGGCGTAGGCTCCGAGGAAGCGGCCTGGCGGGGAGGGCACCAGGGCGCCCCCGGCGTAGGGCGCCCCCAGGGCGGCACCCCCGCGACGGTCGGTGGCGTCCTGCGCGCCGGGCTCCGGGTAGAAGTAGCGGTTCTGCGGGTCGGCGCCTGGCGCCCGGCCCTCGTCGTTCGCCGGCATCGGCTCGGTGCCCGTTAGCATGTCTCCGCAGCCGAGCTCCACGATGCCCATCCGGGGCGGGCTGGCACCTTCCCGCGGGCCGTCGAGGACCGGCCCCTCTCCGCGCGGGGGCGGGCGCGGGGGTCGGCTGGGCAGAGGTGGGCGGGGGCGGGGCCAGGGCCCTGCGGCCGGGGGGAGGGGCGGGGCCCCACCGGAGCCCGGGCTCGGACGCCTGGGTCCTGCGCCCGCGTTTGGCGGGCGCGCGGCAGCTCCCGGGCTCCCTCTCCAGCGGGCCGCTGTCACTAGCGTCGCGGCGCCTTTGCTGTGGCTTTATGAAGCTCTCTCGGCCACCCCCCCACCCCACCACCTCGGCCCCGCCCCGCCTCACCCCGCCCCTCCTGGCTAATAACTCGGCAAATTCTACGCGGTTGGTGAGGACTGTAGGGCCCCCACCGTGCAGAGCAGCGAGTCTCCGGTGCGCCTTGTAGTTCACGCTCAAAGACTTTATGCCTTATGGGAGAGTCAACCCCTCCACGTGAAACGCCAGACTGTTTGTCTCCTCTGGACCCTCGTGGAAATTCCACCCATCCTTGAAGCTTCAGCTCAAAGGCCCCCTCCTACGGGAAGCCTTCGGTGATGACCCAGATGGGCTTACACGCAGGCTCCAAGCCGCTTTGCCCATGGCCATGTGACAGATGTTCACTGATGCTCACTGTGTGCCCAGGCTCCGAGCTGAGTGGCTTTGTGTGAACTGTTGCCCTCTTCCTCTTTGCCAGAGGCCCAAGCAGGCTGTGTTCCCTGCATCTGTTCCTTCAGCCCTAGGGCAGAAGTGGGACCTGGTGGGCAGCAAGAAGAGTTCCATCAAGCGAACTGCACAGCAGCGGCTGAGGGTTTGCACGAGGGCATGTCAGCCATGGGCACTGGGAGCAGCACTGGACTGCCAGTGCTCAGAGTCCCAGGGCTGGCTCTGACCATCACTCAGGTAGATGTGACCCGGGCAAGTCACTTTCTTTGCCTGAAAGTCAGCCTCAAGGCCCCCAGGCTAGAGAAAACAAACTGATGCACTTTTTCAGAGGGCCTGTGAGCCTTACATGAGAGAGGACACCTGGGTGGCACTTTACAGTCTATTATTATACCTGGATGGAAAAGCAGCTTTGAACAGACCCAGAGCAGGCTGACAGGAAGGAAACCCACCACATGTTCTGAAGGGCTGCCTTGGTGGTAAGACTCTGGGGGGCTTATCTTTCTCTGTTTTCCTTTTCTGTTGACTAATGTAATTATATTCCTTTTATGATGATTGTTTCCCCCTGGTTGAAAATGTCTTCATTGGGAGTTTTCCTGTGAATAAAGATAAAACACACTCATATAGAAAATTTAAGCAGTATAAAGAAGTAAAAAATAGGACTGCATAAATCACACGAAATTCCACCCCCCAGAGGCAAATAGGATTACAATTTTCCTGAACACCCCAGACATCATTCCTTGCACACCCCTTCTTGGTCTGTCTTTTGCACATGCACACACGCATACCATACATATATATATACACGTAATGTTTTTTCACTCAACAAGGTGTAATGGAATTTTTCACATGTCAATATACGAAGATTTACATTTGTAAGTGTTTTGAAAAATACCTTAACATTTTTATCATGTTAAAGGTTAACCTCTTCTCTCTCCCCTTCCCCCGCTCCCGCTCCTCCCCAGCCCGCCTCAGTTCTCCCCTGGGAGCTGGCCCCATCTCTGCATCCCTGTCCCAACTCAACAGGGCTTCACCCTCAGGGGCCCATGGGGACTCTCTGCTCCCAACTAGAGCTGAACCAAGAGGCAGGTTGGCAGGTGAAGGCAAAGCTGGGGACCCCAGGAGGCGGGCATGACTCAGGGAGGGGGGAGGAAAGAACATAAGCACATCCTCTGAGCATGGAGGCCAGCACACCACAGCACCAGAACCCGGGATTGGCCTCCTCCTGGCCCTTTACCCACCTTCTCCATCCTTCCTGAAGGGGGAAGTTTCTGCCTGCTGGTCCATGTGGGCTGCATTGCTTGAAAGAGAGGGTGATCTTGAGACCCTTGGCTACTTTTGGGGAAACATGAAAGATTTTAGTAAGTCTACCTTGAATGACTGGTTTCCCCAGGAGACATGAGGCTGCTGAATGCTGACACCTCTTCTGGGAGACATTCTCGCTAAGTGCTTGGCTGTGGAGGGCCAAGTGGGACCCTGTTCCTCCCTGTCTCTCCCCCTCCTCCTCTCCATGCTCATCCTTGGGTCAAGTGATCCTCCCCCCCACCCCTGAACAGAAGAACCTAAATCCCTGCCCAGCTTTGGGGGCAGGAGGGATTATGAATTTCAGAATCAGGTGGACCTGGGGACATGTCCCTGGAGGAAGAGGGTGGCAGGAGGCAGTCTTTGTGTAACCCGATGAACTGTTAGAGGGTCTTACAGCCCGGCTCATCAAACCCAGGTTCCTCACTCACTCCCTCCAATTCCTTCCACCCAAAAAAGAAAGTGCCTGTGAAAAGCGGGGGCTGAGTAGCCCCGGTGTCACCACTGCCAGGCCCGCCTCTCTGCCAGCTTGGGTGAGAAGAAGAACTCTGGCAGTGACACCTCCTCCTCCCCTTACCACCTCATCTTCTTCCCAGGCCCCAGGACTGGAGAGGTGGGGGAGGTGGGGCAGGATACAGGGCCCCCTGGGATCTGCTCACTTCCATCGCTGCTCATCCCAGCCCCTCTCTCATGGATCTACCCATTGATCGTCCAGAAGGCTGGTCTGGGTGGGGCAGGAGCAAAGGACAGGGTATGTCTCCAGGATGGGAGAGACACTGTCTCCAATAAACATCAAACGTCACAAGACAGGCTGGATGGGAAATGTGGGAAAATGAACAACCTACCAAACTCTCACACCCCACTTGTGGCAGAGCCAGGGCTGGAACCCCCATCTCTTGACTCCTGATCCAGTGCTCTTCCCACAAGAGTGTTGCCTTCCCAATTTTGAGGAAGAACAACTGTAATAAATGAAAAGTCATATGATCACATCAGAAAAGGTTTAGAAAACAGAAAAGTAAATTGCCCCATAGCCCACCAACCTGGACAGCGGTTTTCTTCACCCTGTTCTGCCTATATTCAAGGCTTCTTTTCAAGCCATTTCCTATCAAGACTCAAAAAGGAGCTTGGCTCCTCTGATACCACACAGCACCTGCCATGACTGTGCATCACAGGTGGTGCCTGGAAGCTTTACAATGTGAATTCCTCAGACCTACCTCTGGAGATTCTGATTCCCAGGTCTGTGGCTGGTTCTCCAGTATCTGTCCAGGTGATGCTGGGCCCCCCCCGAGTCCATGCATCCCACTCTCAGGCCCACTCCCGTTTTGCCATTCTACCTCCAAATCATGTCCCAACTTGAGAAAGCCTGTGCCCTGACCCTGCTTGTTGTGTGCCCCTTGGCACCTGGAAGACTGTGTGATGGTTGAGGATGGCCTCTCCAGGCACTGAGTATATTTTCTTATTGAAGTGCCAGGACCAGGCAGTTCCTCACCCCAGAAGCTAACCGTCACCTGTGTTCTCTCCTTACAATGTGTGGATGCTTAGCACTCCCAGGACCTGGAAGGCTCTTGAATGGGCTCACGCTGCATGGTGCCAGGGTAGGGTGCTGAACGGCCCACGGGGCAGTCACAGAGGGCGGCTCTTGGCAGAGACCTCGCATATCAGGACTCTAGGATCCAGGATTTCTGCCTCCATCCTGCTGGGCATAACCTGAGCGGCTGTGAGAGGGTAGATGAGTGAAGCGGGGAGGACGGCATGCTGGAGAAGAGGCAGGGCAGGAAAAGGAGAGAGCACGGAGTGGGGGGGTGGGGGGGTGGGGTGCTGGGCTGGGTTTCTGAAAGATTCAGAGATGGAGAGGGACAGGGACCACAAAGTCAGAAACCCAGAGCGTGACTCAATGGGCAAGTCTCAGGCCAGGAGAGGGAGATCTGAAAAGAAGACAGAGGAGGTGGGCCAGGGAGAGGGAGGTTTGCAAGCAAATACTTGTGGCAACAGAAATGATGTAACTGGCTTAGAACCCCAATTCCAACTGGCTGTGTGGTCTGTTCAAGTATCTTCACCTCCCTGGCTTCCTCATCAGTAAATGGAGCTAAAAGACTTTCTGTCAGGATGACCAGGTCTCAAGTGAGGTGTGAGGCAGTGTGAAGGCCATGGGGTTCTGCCCCGAGGCAAGAGCAGAGCAGAGGCACTCTCTCTCTCTCTCTAGTCGCTAAGTCATGGACGACTCTTGCGACCCCATGGACTGTAGCCTGCCAGGCTCCTCTGTCCATGAGCAGAGGCACAGGCTGTGCTAAAGTGCCTCCTCCCCTTCTCCTCCAAGCTGTCCAAAGTTCCCTTCCCTCCCTCTGGCATCCACTGGTTCCCCACAAAAGGCCCTTCAAATCCAGACCTCAGTCTCCACTAGGGCCCTGGGCCCAAAGAGAACCAAGATCCCATCCCAGAAAGGACAGTCTTCCCCTCCAGAGACCCATACACCATTCCCTGGAGACTGGGACAGGCCAGATCCCAGGGACTCGGGGGTCACAGAGATAAAGTAGGCTCAGCTTCTGCCTCCAAAGAACTCCTAGCGAGGTGACCTTGGGATCAAAGTTCTCGAGCCCCTCAGTGCATTTGCCCTTCAGATGCAGGCTTGAAACATGCTAGCCTGTGCACATACAATGGACAGCACCCATGTGTGAGCAAGCACATGCAATGCACACACACACAAACACACAGCAACGCTAGACAAATCCCTGCAGCCTCATCCCCTTCGCGTGTCCCACATGCAGCCTCCCTGAGCTCCTTGGGCATCTGCTCTGCTCACCCCCACCCGCTCTGAACCTCCTCCGGCTCTGGGCCCAGACTGCCAGTCCTTCAGATAGCATGGCCGGAACCATCGGATTAACAGCCAGGGAGGGCAGAAGGCGAGTGACAAGCACCTGTAGAAGCCCTACCCCGTGACAGCTGCGGGAGTTCCGAGTCCCCAGCACCCAGCACCAGGTGATCAGTGTGGGCTCAACACCAATCAAGGTCAAGGGCCCCAGGCTCTCACTCCCAGGCTGGTTCCCCTTCCCTACCCCCCACCCCCTGCAAGGCTGGGAAGACTTATCCTTTAGCTCCAGGCCACACCGGGTTCTCCTGTATTTCAGGCCTCTCCCGGGGGCATCTTATCTTGGATCAGCTCTTCTGTCTCTAACAGCTGTCACCCAGGAGCCCCAGCTCTTCACACTAGACCCACACCCCCCCACACACCCACAGAGCACCCCACCTTCACTGCGTTCCCAGGCTAGGGTTCCTGCCCCCTCCTGAAGGGACCTCCAAGATGTTGGGTGCTTGAGCAACATCTTGGGGGCATGCCAGACTATGAGTGGGCAGTCCTGAGCTTCAGGGAGGCCCCGGGGAGAGAGTGTGTCCCTCCACTTCCTGGGGAATCTCAACAGACAGGCCCTTAATCTCAGGCAGGAAGCAGAGTCCGGTTACCAGGAGCTGGGGGTGGGGGGTGGGGGGGAGATACCCAGGGCTCTGGTTAAAGGGAGCTGGTGTTGGAGGGGTGCAGACAAGAAAGAGCCGAGTAGTGCGATGTGGGCCAGGGGTTAATCCCTCCACAGCCAGGCTCCTCTCTGCTCTCCATCTTGTGCCTTTGGAGACCGTACAATCCCTTGGCACTGTCAGACCTCTGCCAGGCCAGGCCTCTGGAAGGCCACTCCCCAGGGCCTCTGGCCACAGGTCAGCCAAACAGCCCCTGCCTGGCCCCTCGCTCTCCAAGGCCCTTGCCTGGCTTCCTGTGAGCCCTATGTATCCCTGTTTGCCCCGTGACCCTATTGGTCTCTCAGGGCCTCTGAGTCTCTGAGTTTCTTCTCTGCTATATCTATCTGATTCTGGGTCTCTTGGGGTCCCCTGTGTTCCTGCCTGCCTGGCTGTGTGTTTTCTTCACACCCATCTCTAGCTCTGGGATCTGTAAAATCTTGGGGTGCTTGTCCTGAGAGTAGTTTCCTTGGCGCTCTCTCGGTGTCCATCCATCTGCTTACTCCGGGGCTGAATTTGCAAACATCTCTCTATCTCCACATCTCTGTCAGGGCCTTGAGGTCTCTCTAGGTCTCAGTGTGCCTGCTGCATGTCTGTCTGTCTGTCTGGGACTGGGCCCCCACCTGAGAGTCTGCTCTGGGCCTGTCTCTGGCCCGAGGCCCTTTGGTTTGTCCATCTCCTTAACACTGTGGGGGTGGGGACGAGATGAGGCAGACTTAGGGGCTGGACCTGGGATGGACCAGAGAGGAAGGGAAAAGGGGGGGACAGGTGGTAGTGGGGGGAGGAGGTGAGGGGACAAACCCCATTCTTTGAACGTTGCCTGAAGCCAGCTGGACGGCCCTGAAAAACCAGGCTGGAGCTCTTCCCGGCCAGTGGGCAAGGGAGAGAGAGACCTGGGAGGAGCCCTTCTGGTGTGGGATGAGGGTAGAGCTGCACAGAAACTGAGACAGACATCAGGGGAGGAAGACTCAGAAAGAAATGGAAAGGCAGAAGGGGCGCTCTGGGTTCTGACCACAGCTCCACCACTAACTCCCGATGATGGGTGCTTTCCCTCTTCGTGCCTCAGTTTTCTGCTCTGTAAAATGAAACAGTCAGTAGAGACCATCCTCTAGAGCCAGGGGGAGGCAGAAGACTTCCCTAAAACCAGGGCAAGAGACTGGTTGCCCTTGTCTGTCTCCTGAGGGGTATCCCAAGTTCCCTTCCAATACCAACATCCTCTGTGTCTGTCCCTCTGTCCCGGCAGGACAGAGGGAAGAGTAGGGGTTGGATAGCAGGAGGGACTTCCTGCTGCACAGGAGGAGGGTGAGGACTCTCCTCCCAGCGGTCCTGCGGCCCCTCTGCTGGGGCTGAGGGTGGAGGGACAGGGAGGAGACGGGGGCTCAGCAGCTGGGTAATTAGCCCTCGCTCTCAGGCCCTGGGGGAGGGGCTGGCTGGACTGAGAAGCCAACGCAAAGTGACAGGGGCAGTTTTGACACGCGGTGGAGCTGACGGGCCCAGGGGGCCGAGGCTTTGGTTTGGTGGGCGGGGGATCCCATCAGATGATTAAAAAATAGGTCAGAGGGAAGAAGCCGCAGCCGGCATTGGGTCCGTAGTGAGAAGGCCATGCAGCTTCCCAAGGGCTGCAGGCCAAAATGGGGTGGGGGGGGGCTGAGGAGTGTTTGCAGGGGTGGGAGTGCTGGGAGTGGGGACAAGGAGCTGCAGGCCCAGCAGCTGGCCCTCCTTCTCCCTCATCCCTGTCTCATGGGGACACTCCGAAGTCCTACCTGCAGTCCGCCTCTGGCCTTCCTGCTGCACCGTGGTCTTCCTCCTCAAAGGCGGGAAGATATAGCTCTTCCTCGGTTTGGCTCTATCCCACCCACAATATATATATACACATCCTATTCCAGAAACACTAAGACCACTGCTCACTTTGGAAGTCCTCCTTACCCTCTGCTCTGTCCCGCTCTGCAAAAGCAGCTTGCTCACTTATCCCTCATTTCTTGCCCATCTGAACAAATTCACTTCCCACTGTGCTCTTTGTTCTTGCCAACTCTGCATCCTGCTTGGGGTCCACTTTGGCCCTCTAGCCTGTTCTCATGGCTTTCTTTTCTCTCCTTTCCTCCTTTTCTCCTTCTCAACTCCATGAAACATAACAGTGGCCTGGAAATGGCATAAGGCAGAGAGCAGGGAGGAGTGAGGTAGGAGACCCAGGAGCCTGGGACAGGTTCATCTTCCAGCACTTCACCGGTGAAGGCAGAGTGACCAAGTCTGGACTGTATAATACAAAGCCCTGAGACACCTTGAAGCATTTCTTCTGTTTAAGCAGTTTAGAGTCAGCTCCCACCTCATCCACTTGAGGCTGAGAAGCTGTTTGCCCAACTTCTGCATACTACACACTGCAGCTCAGTCTCATTTCCCTTTCTGAGATTCCCCAACTTGGGAGTATGGAAAGATTAGCACCCACAACTTGGTAGGAGAGCCAAGGCCTTGGCCCTCTGTGCTGCACTCCATCCTCCTAAATCCCAGGCACAGGCACAAATCCAGCAGACAGCCAGCGGAAGTCCGGGGAGAGGAACAGAGCAGGCAGGAGCAGAGCCATCTCCAGCTGAGTGGACACCTGGGTCCAAGCCACTGCAATGGAGAGCACCCGAGGCCTTGTTGGCACGGAAAATGGATTGGCTAGGTCTGACCTTGAGTTTAACCCCACTTACGACGCCAGATGCAGATCTGCTCTGACACAGGAGTCTGAGATTTCCCCGGGAGCCTGTTGGCTGCTGCCCACCCCCCTCAGTTACCCAGGAAGTGTCACAAGGCGTCCTGCTAACATCTTTCTACCAGAACCATGGACAGCTGGAAGCCCCTGGACCCTCATCTCCAGCCACAGGGGTCGTGAAGCTGGTGTGACTGCCCTTAGCCTGCCCACCTCATGCCTGCCTCCATTTCTTTCCAACCACTGGCACCAGAACCTGACATGTTCTATGGGTTGGGGAGGGATGGCTTTGGCTAGGCAAGTTCTCAGCAACTGGACCAATGGCTGGGGATTGAGATACTGGGCTCATGGTCTTTGCATTTCTCTCTCTCTCTCACACACACACACACACACACACGTGCACACGGACCTGGAATTGCCACCCAAGGCTCAGGGCCCCAGGAATGGACTGTGTACGAGGGTCCTTGGGCTCCCACTGTCGTGGACATACTGCTGAGTCCAGTTTGTGCTTTGTCTTCTCTGTTGACTCCCAGCAAGTTGGAAATTGGAAAAACCTGAGTTCTTCCTGATGCTCCCACTGTGGCTTGGGGGCACAGAGAATGAAAAAAGAGAACACTCCCAGGCAATTCACACCCTTGATTTCATTAAGCTCCACAACACCGCAGGTCAGTGGGGCAGGGATCACTGTACCCATTTTGCAGACAAGAAAACCAAGGCACAGAGAGGTTAAGTACCTTGTCAAGCTGGTGACCCCACAGTGAATCCTTATGCTTGCACAGTGCCCTTCCCATGACCTCACCTGTAAAGAGGATACTATTGTTCTTCATTTTACAGATGAGGAAACGGATGCTCAGAGGGTGATTTGATTTCCCCAGGCTCTCAGCTATTTTTATCCCCTATCCTTCTCTGCTCACAAGGATCCTACTCAATCAATTCTGGCTCAGAGTCCTTCCCTCGCTCTGGAGAAAGGCAAGAACTTAGGGCCGCCCCAGGTTACCCCCAGTGTGTGTTCCTCTGTCTTTGGGAAGTCATTCCTAGTGTCCTGTCTGATGGCCCTGCAGAACTGAGCTCCATTACTCAGCAAAACCCACCCCACTTATGGGGCAAGGGGGTGGGAGAGCAGGACTGAGGAACTAAAAGGGCCAGGCACTGGCTCAGCCACACAGCCCAGGCCAGGGTGGGCATGGCGGCAGTAGAGGAAATCAGATCCAGATGGAAGAAGCCAGAAGTTCTGATTTCCAGGTTCAGGTCAGGGGTGGGAGCAGGGACCTTCCTCACTGTTTTGAACTCCCTGGCCCTGAACACCAGGCCCTCTGCCACACATCCAAGCCTTTTGGTATGAGTGGGGAGGAGGCCTGGGCAGCTCTTAGAGATGGGAAGAGGGCGCCACTGGGCGAACTCCCTGCCAGGCAGTGCTGCCTCCCACTCTCTGCCCACTCCGAGGTTCATCACACCTTGGCTCTGACCTTCTGCTAATAGAATCTGTGCTCACTTCTCATCTTGCTTCTCACCTGGAGACCTGTGAGAAGCACGGCCAGTGGCCAGGGGTGGTACAGAGCTGGCTGGAGCTGACAGTCGCTCCACCCCTCTCCACGCCACTTGGACGGCCTGTGATGCTGGGAACCCCTTTAATAAAGCCGCTGCTGTAGCTTCAGTAGCTCTGGGACAGCAAGTGGGGCTTAAGAGCTCCTGTTCTTGGCTAGGAGGGAGGAGGGGCTTCTTCTGACAGCTCATGTGGGGAAATCGTGGACCCCAGACTGTTCTCCAGATCTAGACCCCCTAAAACGCTCCACCCTTCCTTAACAAACCCAGGGAAGCCTTCCAAAAAGATCAACCGAGACAGTCCTTTTCTCCCCTGCACTGTAAGTTCTTCCTCAAACCTAACTGTGATCCCTTGCAGAGGGGTAGAAGGGGGCAGAGATGAATCGCAGTTTCTTATAAACCTGGTGGCTTCTTGTTCCCCGACGACAATACAGCGGACGAGTTCTGTGGTTCTGGCTCTGAGTCAGGCCCCATCGCCCGGGCGTCCCCAGTGCCACCTCGCTCCGCCCCGCCCCAGACTGGAAAATCAGGCTCATGCCTCTGCCCGAGTCAGTGCTTCCCCTGCTTCCCCTCACGATCTCGCTTTCCCCTAAAGGGAGGTATTTCCTCGAAGCTGGGAAAAGTCAAGGGGGCAGAGACCTCGCCAGTTACCGGGAGGCAGGAGGCGGACGGTGGGCATGGGGCATGGGGTGGGGGTGGGGCTACCCTGCCTTCCTGTCCCTCCCCTCTCCTCTCCTCCCCTCATTCAGCCCAGCTCCTCCATCCTGCTCTTCTAGCTAGTCGGATGTGTGTGTGAGTGCAAGAGCATGGTATGTGTGTGTATGCACACTTAACACACTTGTGTAGCTGGTATTGGGGGTGGGCTCCTTAATCCCCAAGGGTGAGCATGAGGTGAAGGAGCGGGGAGAGGTCATGCCACTGGTGTGTCTGTGAGTGACACAGGGTTTTTCCACACGTATGTTATTCACATGTTCCTTGTCCACCGTGTACTCTTCAGACCTCCCAGAATCACAAGTCTAGTCCATATGGACCCCACTCCTTGCAACCTGGGTATTAACCATATTCCCTCCCTCTCCTGAAGTCAGAAGCCTGCCCTCCTTGAGCTTCCCCAAAGGATGAGGGATTCAGGGATTCAGTGAGGAGATAGGCCCCTCCCTTCGCAGAAAAATGACCCTTCTTGGTCCCACCAGGGGACCCCCAGTCCTTGGCTGGTCCAGACAGGTGACAGCTAGGTCCTGCAGACCTTCAACCTTTCCACCTAGTCAGAGGCTCAAAGAGACACAAACGTCATGAACCCCACTCTCGGACCCCGGATGAGGGCAGGATGAGTTTGGAGAAATTGAATCCCGGGGAGGGGGCAGTTAGAAAAGTCTGAGTAGGCAATCTAGGACTCACGTGCGCCCACCCGCAGACCAGGGGCGGGGAGGGGCGGGGCGGGGCGGGGAGAACGAGGGAGTGAAACAGGAAGAGAGATGGAGAGACAGAGAATGAAAGCCGGAGTGAGAAACTGAGACAGTGGACAGTCAGAAAGAGATCGAAGGGCGGAACTGGGGCGGGGGGGCGGGGCACTGGGAGCAGAAGTGCGGCGGCGACCGCCGGCACGCTGGCAGCAGGGGTCAAGGGAAGGGTTGCCTTTTCCTTTTTTTCACGGGCATCACAGATGCACAAGCGGTCAGCGCAGAAAGAATGCAAGTCTTTTGGGGAATACATGTAAATCCATGGCTGATTCATGTCAATGTATGACAAAAACCACTACAATATTGTAAAGTAATTAGCCTCCAACTAATAAAAATAAATGAAAAAAAAAAAGAATGCAAGTCTTTCATGTAAAGAAGGGGAAATCGAGGCTTAGTGATAGAGTCACTTAAAAGGGAAAACCGAGCTGGGGAGGACCCACCCTCCTTCTTCCCAGATCGAGTTCTTTTTCCCCCGCCCCACCCAAGCCCAAATGGGTTTCTGGAGGATACTCAGGCTCAGCCGGCACTTCCCACATTCTCTGTGGCGGGGCTTGGGGTGGGTGGCAAGGGGGAAGGAGACTGGAGATTAGTCTTGACACAGATTTGCATGGCAAGCGCACTTCTTCCCCTGAGATGTTACAGATCAATAAAAATAGCAAAACTTTCGAAAGGATGCCTTTACGCCACTTTACAAAACACAACATGGAGAGGAGGGAATGCAACCTCCTCACTTGGCGCAGGAAGGAGGAGGTCAGCAAAGGAGCCAAGAGTGTCAACATCCAGAAGAAAGACAGCGACTCTCTTACCCACATACCTCCAGCCCACACTCAGGATGACCTGGATTGTCTCTTCCTGACTCTGAGAAGGATGGAGAGTTAGGCCCTGTCAAACTCCAGACCATCAAACTCTGACCAGGGCTAGGCACTGACCAGGGGCTAGGCATTCCCATTTCAGCCCGGCTTCTCCCATCTGCAGCACCCTGCCTGAAAGACCACCAGCAGAACTTGGCCCAGAGAGTGGAGGGGATCATCTCCAGGTCACGCAGCCACCTGGGAGGGAGGTGGGAGAATGCCACCTGAGGACTCTGGTCCCAGCCCCAGCACCCAGGCCCTGCCCATGGGACCCACTGCAGCCAGTCACACCCGCAGAGGCATCTTGGCTTCTGGCTCCCTTGAGAATTGGAACTGGAATCCCAGGCTGATTGAAAGGAGACTTGGGGGGACCTGGTGTCCTCACCCTCAGCCCCTGTCTTCTCTGAGCTGCTGCCTGAGGCAGCCCAGGGATAACAGCTCCCTCTACCCGGGGATCACCCGAGACCTCGGGCCCACTGTCACGCTGGATACAATGACTGCAGCCCTGCCACCTGGGAGCTCAGCTTCCAGCAAAAACCTCCAAAAGAAACCACTTTTCCAAGTCTGCCCCTGAAAATCTGGGGGGCTCATAGGAGGGGCTTACAACCCCCTTAGTCATCCTAGGAAGCCAAGCTGAATAGCAGTGACTGATATTCACCCAACCACAAGCCAATTTTGTGGTTTCAATTGTTTTCAGAAGGAGCAGCAGTGCAGTGGCAGGAGGCCTTGGGTAGAGGAGTGGGCTGCCTGCTGGACCCCGGCCCCTTCCTGGCCACTGACGGGGCAACGTCGGGGCACTCTACTCTGCCCTGGCACAGCTCAGGAAGGCTCAGAACTACCCCCACCTCACAGATTCACAGGGCAAGGGTTCATAACAACCAGGAACACCACCCTCCCCCATCCTTTCCACGTCCCCCCAGCAACTTAACTGGTCAGGCTGGCCGCTTCCTGGATCCAAGGTGAACCCTTTTCTTTTCTTTCCTTTTTGTTTCATTTTGTTTCTCTTTCCTTTCCTTTTCCTTCCTTTCTCTCTTCTTTCTTCTTTCCTTCCTTCCTTTTTTCCTTCCCTTCCTTCCTCCCTCTCTCTTCTGTCTCCCTCCCCTTTTCCTCTAATATGTGTGTGTGGCAGGAATAGTTCAGGAGCCATAGCAAAGTGAACAAGGCTGCTGGAAGGTTCCTGCAAATGAATATGGCCTGCCAGGCCCCAGATCCAAACCTATGGATGCCCAGACCCAGCCTCCAGCTCCTTGGGCTGTGGCACTCACTGCTTCCCTCAAACCGCATCTGATCACTTTCCTCATGAGCTGGGAAAAGATCTGGATTAGCAATAAGGGAGTAGATTTTAGAGGAATTTCAGCAATATAGAATGCCAAAGTGTCAGAGCCAAGAGGGAAATTAAAACCATCCGGTCCAGTCCTTTCCTTCTTTTTTTTTTCCTCATTGGGAAGCAAAAGCTCTGAGAAATGATGCAACATTTCCAGAGCTTGAGTAGGACGACAAGTAGGTCCTCACTGTCAGGACAGGCTCTGGACACCTCCGGCCACTGCCCCACAGGATGCAAACTTTCTCCCTTCTCAGCTTTTAATATTGATCAACTCCTGGTCCTGATGACCAGGGAGAAGAATCAGGAAATGAGGGGCGGGCCAGAAGCAGATCAGAAGCAGCTGGGTACAGAGGTTTCGCACTTCCCTGAGAACACGCAGCATCTCCTTGCCCTCTTCCTCCAGGAAGCCTGCCTGAATTACCTTTGGTGGGTGGGGGGACCGTCACCCTCTACACTTGGGACAGGAAGTGGGGTCTGGACAGGAGCAGGGGGGTTGTGTGTGGGAGAAGCTAGGGAAGGGGAGGCCCCCCATGGGGAAGAAGCTGCCCTAATGAGTCACTGCTGCCCAGGTGCAGCCCTCTTGGGGGCTGCCCATCTGTGGTTAAGATTTATCATGTGGTTTCTACAAAGGATTGTGGAGTGGTGGGCTACAGCTGGCTGCACCAGCTCGCAAGAGGTGATTGGGTCTCTCCCCACTGCTCAGGGCCATCCCAGTGGCAGCTCAAGTTGGAGGACTGGTTGTTGGACATGTACCAGCACACCACTGGGTAATGGGGTCAACTGCAAAGCCCAGAGCATACACATGTGGGACTTCACGCATGTGTTAGTGTACACTGTTCCTGGGGTCCACATGGGTCATGTGCAAATGAATGGCAGTGCATGTCTGTGTCCCCCTGGCACCTGGGACATACTGTGTGGCACTGTGGTCCTGTGAGACTCTGTGTGCATGCGTGTTGGGAGAAGCATGTCTCTGCAGATGGGAGTCACTGGGAGCCTGGTAAGTGAGGAAGGGTGTGTGTGTGTGCAGCTGGGTCTTTGGAAGGGTGTATCTGGGGCTATGCGTGACAAGGTGAGTCTGGAGGACCAGCGTGGGGAAAAGACCCACATGTGCCGACTGTAGGGGACTGAGGCTGCGCCTGAGATCAGAGACGCCCAAATCCCTGAGCTCAGAGACCCCCTGTGCCAAGTCCTGCTCAGGCCCCCCTCTGTCCTCAGGCTTAACCACCTGCCGTGCCCGGAGGGAGTGGAATGCCAGAGCAGGCAGGGGGCTCGCTG